CAATCTCACAGTTTCACTTTATCAAAATCACTTTTTTCACAAAATTTATTTTTTCAAAATCTATTTTTAAAATTACTTTTTTCTCAGAAGCTATTTTTCAAATCATAGTTTGGATTTATCTAAACACCCTTGTAGTTTCATTCGAGTTATTTTTTGGCAAAAAATTCAAATCATTTATATTTCATAAATAATATCTCTTATTTTTAAACTGAAAATAATATGTGAAAAATATTCAACTTTTTTACTTAACTTTTTTTGAAGATTTGTTTCACTGCCTAAGCACACAATAGTCCTTTCTTTGGATATAAAACAACTTATCTTATTTAATATTTTGAATATTGACAAACCATGTTAGGAAAAACTAGCTTCTTCAGCTCAACCCAACCTTCTTCAACAATTATGTATAATTATAACCTAGAATTATAAGTATTATTATTTTGAGGGCTAGAGCTCATGGACATGAGAAAAAACCAGATGGCCCTTAATGTGAATTGAGCTCAAAAATGTGAATTCAGGATTGAAATCAATTATCATTACAGAGTCGACACAAGATTATAAGTTTAGAATCTTATTATTTGTAAACATTTTCTGAACATGAATTGAATACATACTTTGGTCTTGACGAGGTTCTAAAACCTAACTCACCTAAGCTTTTTTTCTTTAAAAAAAAAATCACTTACCATTACTTATTATGTAATACTACCTCTGATTCTTAGAATTTCGTTTGACCTTTATTTTAATTTTAAATATAAGACCAAATCCACTTTGTCTCATGTTTATTTATTTTTTTTCAAAATAGTTTTTCTGATAATAATAGTTTTAACTAATAAACTTGATTAACAAATATGTTTTAAGAAAAACAATACTTATTTATTACAAATAACTAATTTAACTTATTTTCTTAATCTATTCAAATTAACCGACTATTTTTTATATTTAGGACCGAAGATAGTATTTTAAATATAATAACGTTATTCATATACATTGAGATTTATCCAACTTCAGAAGCTAAGATCGATCTCTTATCGGATGTACCGAAGGAACACTAAGATGTATATATAAATATATATATATATATATATTTTTTTTTTGGGGTTACGAACGCTAAGAATTATCTCTCCCAGATACGACGGTAAGCAAATACTCCGTCCGTTCCTTATTATAAAAGACAAATAACCGAAATGCGTTGATAAAAAACAGTTAAAATTAGTTAAGAACAATTAATGTGTAAAAAGTGTAATTTTTTTCCAAAAATGCCCTCATTAATAAGGAGAGAGAACATGAGAGAACAATTAAATTATTAAAGAAAGAGAAGTGGAGGAGAGAGTGTGAGTTGGAGATAATAATATGGGTAAAATAGGAAATCAACACAAAAAAGTAAAGACAACTTCTAAGTGTCTCTTATATATAGGAACATGCCATAAGCATCAATGTCTCTTATAATAAGGAACGGAGGGAGTAATAAATTACTAGAATTTTTTTTTTCCGGATACAGAAGAGGGCTAAGGCCCTAAAACAGCAAATAAACTGACAGTGGAGGAATCTAATCCCAAGCAACCATTAGCAACCCCTTAAGAACAGCCCATTGCTCTGCTTCAAACGCACTACAAATGCTGAGGCTATGAGAAAATCCCACAACCAGCTCGGTTTCTAGAAGGAGACATCACTCTATCAACATTTAATTTAACCCAATTCAAGGGTTGATGTTGCCATGCATGCCGTGGGGAGTTAGACAATTGAACAAAGTCAATATTCTGCAAATGAACAAAACTTTTTCCAGTTTTGAGTAATATATCAGATGTGAGCCTCTCCTCCGGCAGATTCCTCCTTTTCCTCATCAGCCTACGGGTATTAGCAGCAGTTCTCAGCTATTGTTCCCTGCTAAGGGCAGGTTTCTACACGTTACTCATTCGTCTGCCACTCTTCCTTTTGGTGGGGAGTTAAGACAATTTAACAAAGTCAATTTTCTGCAAATGAACAAAACTTTTTTCAGTTTCGAGTAATAGAAAAAGAGCCATCTGCAGTAGCATTTCAAGAAAGAGCATCCTCACCAGCTTCAAGCATTGGAGGTAGCATGCAAATAATTCTTGGTAAGATTTCACTGGGAATGATAGGAGCTAGGCACTGGAAGTCCCAAGCACCAAAATTAGCCGAGCCAGCAACTTTACTTTGCTCTTCTTCCAAAGTCAGAGGTTTTCTACACACCGATTTTAAAGACTTATCAGGGAGGAGCCATTGAACAGTGAAGATATGAACTGATTTCCCATTTCTAATTGTCCACTTCATTCAATAACTAAGTACTCCTCCGGTTCTTAATATAAGACCCATTTAACTAATTTGATTAGATTAAGGAAGTTAGGTAAGTTAGTTAATTATAAGAAATGTGACACATTTTTCTTAAAATACCATAATCATCTTTCTTAATACCCTATCTTCCTCTTCTACTTGATTATGATTGAGAGAGTATTCATAGGGGTAATTTAGAGAAAATTGATAAATATGACAAATAAGTCTTATATTTAGGACCAAAACCAACTCAAGAATTGGGTCCTATATTAAGGATCAGAGGAGTAATAATATAAGTTCTACCCAATTCAGATGAGAAATAAAACGTGTAAAAAAATATTGGTTACAAAAATCTCAGAAAGTGTTTGTTTAATATTTATCAATTATCATAATTGCTATTCATTTGTTCAATATTTATCAACCATCAATTGTGCTTCATAAAATTATCACTTCACCCTTGTGCTTCAAAAAATTCATTTAGTAATTTAGACATTTAAAAGGAAAAAAATGAAAAACAATATGTGTAGATCATAGTGAAAGGGACTTTAGCTGTTTAAGCACGAGTTCTTGAGTCCGAGTCCGAGTCTATGTGAATGCAAAAACATCTTTGGAAAAGTAACCCAAATTGGGCCTAACTTTGCTCGAATCTAACCTAGTCAAATACCCATATAAAAGGAAAAAAACAAGAAGGATGCCAAAGGTGTTCTTTAGGACAGTCAAGCATATGATCCTTAATCTTATAAAGATATACTTAATTATGTTTATAGAGTTGTAATTCATAAAGCATAATAGCATTATACAATATATATGATCAACATAAGGCTTACTGATATTGTAGTTATGAATTATCAATTATGCCGCTATAAGTTTGACAAATTTTTTTAAAGGCATGCTCCTTTAAGTTACTAGAGTGCTTTAGGCTTGTTACTACCAAAACCATCAATACTAAAGCTTACCTGAAGTTACAGCTTTTGTTTCTTAATGACCACTCATCTTCTTAGAACTGTCACCTGATGCATGTGGATTAGATGCTTCTACCAAAAACATACAGTTAAGAAGAAGATGAGAAAGAGGAAGCCATAGCTAAACCCAAAGAAAAATAAATCCTTGAACCAAACCAACTATATGCTCATCCAAAAGGTCCAAGGTATCAAATAGCATATGAATGTAATTTGCAAAGGCGTAATTTTTTTCACAGTTTAACATGTAAGTCACATAGAAAAATTGAATCAAAGCCATTACAGTTATGTCATACCTTGATTTTTGTCCTTCATACATTCCTTCTCTATAATGGCACGTCATCATCAGTGCCAGGAAAATATGAGCAAGGAACTAAAGGAAACTCCAATCAGAAAGCATAATGGCATCCCCTAATGCACAAATTTTGACTAGTTATCTTAATTTCAAGGAGTACATGTAGAAATTTCTCCTTTCATATGGGAGGAAAGAAGCAAAAGACTGATGATATATTAAGTATGAACTAATGGAAAATGAAGAACATTTGAAAATTTTTATGGCAAACTACAATACCCCGATTAAAACTTAACATGTAGCCCAAAGAATCAGAATACAAACAAACAAACAACCAACCACCTCTACAAGATTTTTAACACTAAACCCTTTTACCATTTATTAACAAGATCCATATAAACAACAGATATTCTGTATTATGTTACAACTTTCATCTGATATTAAGCCACACCCAAGCAGTATAAATTGATAGTGCATATTTACTCCAACAAAAAGCACAAGAGGTAACTCAACTTATATTTGTTTCTAACATAGATGGTGTCAAAAAAGACTACATCACAAAAGATTTTTCAGACGTTGATGACGTTGATCCTCACCAATATCTACTGTGCAAAAGAAGTTTGAATTCATACCGTGCATCTGCACCCAAAAATCAAGTAGAAGCTTGGCATCCCCTGACTCCAGGCCCCAATTCAGACCAACCACGATTTTGTATTCAGCGAACTGTCTAGCCATTGCAGCAAAATACTTTCTTGTTTGCTCACCGACAGCTTAAGTTCGTAAAAGCTTATGATTACATTCCTTCACAAAACTATGCATTACCTGTTTTCCATCAAGCCTTCTTTTTACATACTTGCTTGCTTTACAATCAGTCAGAACAAGATCTTCAACCAGTTGAATTTTCAGCATCTTGCTTGTTCTGTCGGGCATGTGGTCGATTGAATGATTTGCCATGCTCTCTTTCTGTTCCATACCTGGAACAAGCAAATTTTGCATTTATAAATTCTCATGCTTAGGTAGGCCCCCTAAATAGTGATGAACCTGAAAATTCTAGGGTGCATAGAGCTTTTTGGATGCGCTTGCAAAACTGATGAAACTAAGCAACCAAAGGTGAGAGAGGAGAGGAATTACAAGAGTGAGGTACGTCTAGTGCTCTGATCTGATGGAATTTCTATAGGGAGAAGAGGAATTCTAGGCGTCATTTTGGTGATAGATGCTAGTGTGTGTGAGCATGTTCCATCAAGCTCATGTAAAGCCATAAAAACAAAAGAAACCACCAGTTACAACAAAAGTAATAAATAAATAAGTAAAAAATATGACTTGAAAAAAAAAAAAATCTTAAATCCAAACATCACTACAGCCAAACTTTTTTCCCCTGAAAAAAACACATTGGCCACCCTTGTCCATCATGAACACCAGTAACACAAAATATGGAGTAGAGTGACAAACCTTCTTTTATCATTTCAAGAGACCTTGATGAATACCTTGTCGATAAGATTCTTTGCCTCATCATTCTCACCATTTTCCAAAAGAGGTATAATAAGTGTTTCAAAAGTTATAGCATTAGGTACGCATCCATTCTCTTTCATTTTATAGAGCAAGGCCTTTGCCTCATCATATAAACGCTCTGTACAAAGTCCTTTGATCATAGCATTATATGCTTGGACATTCAAAGGATAACCATTAACCAAAAGAAGCTGGAAAATCTGTTGCGCATCACTTAATCTGTTACCCTTACACAAACCATCAATAAGTATGGTATATGTGTAAGTATCAGGCCCAATTCCTTGGTTGACAATTTGCTTAAATAATGCAATTGCTTGGTCAAGATGTTGACTTTTGCACAATCCATCTAATAAAATACTGTAAAATATTATATCAGGAGTATGGCCACTAACATGCATCTCATAAATAACATCTTGCACATCAGAGATTCTGCCTGACTTGAACAAACCGTCGATAAGGGAACTATAGATGATAGTATTGGGAGTCAAGCTTTTATGACGCATTTCTTTAAAGAGATTCACGGCATCATCCACCATCTTGATTTTACAAAGTCCATTAATCATAATGCTATAAGTAATAATACCAGGAGCCAAACCACTATTGACCATCTTATTGAGTAATTCTCTTGACTCACCAACATTATTGATCAAACAGTAACCATCCATTAAAGAGTTGTAAGTAAAATGATTAGGCATTGTACCATACTTCATCATCATAGCAACAAAAGCTTCAGCTTTAGTCATACTTCCTTCCTTACAAAATGCATCAACCAATATGCTAAAAGTATACACATTAGGGTTGATGCCTTGAAGTATCATTTCATTGAACACTTTTGTAGCTTCTGCCTGTTTACCCATGACACAAAAACCATGTATCAAAGAGCTGCAGGTTACAACATTAGGAGATATTCCGTGATCAATAATTTCATGAAATAAATCACAAGCTTCAGTTATGAGTCTTTCCCTGCAAAAGCCATCAATAATCGTACTATACATAACTAAGTTAGGCTTAACTGGCCCTCTCGCCATTTTTATGAGGAATTTAATGGCAGCTCTTGTTTTTCCAGTCTTACATAGTCCATTGATCAGTGTGCCATAGCTAATTGCATTTAACTGAAATCCTTTTGCTACCAGATCGTCATGAAAATCCAAGGCCTTTCCAACGTCATTATTGATGCAAAGGCCCTTCATCAGTGTGTTCAAAGAAATCGTATCTGGCTGACAGCCCATCTTAAGAATCTTGCCTAAGGCAGAGAAAGCAGAAGCCATTTGACCCAAATGGCAGTAACTATTAATCAAGATGTTCAGCGTTACCAGAGTTGGCGTGAATCCCTTAGATTCCGCTTGTGCAAAAAGGGAGATAACTGTTCGATGATGTTTCAACTTTGCAAGAGCTCCTAAGATCTTATTAATTTGTATCATCGAGGTTCGGGGGCGCACATGAAGCAAGCGATTAAAAGAAGAGACGGCCTCTTCAATATTCTGAGGATTTGTCGAATTGGAATGGAAACAGAAACGGAGAGTCGGGGCATGTGAGGGAGGAAGAAGGAAGGAAGACGTAGAAGCCGCAGAAAACAAAGGAAATCGGGAGAAGAAATACCGTGAAGGAGCTCTCCAAAATGACATCTTCAGTTGCATTCAGAAATTCAGATCCTCCAACAAAGTCTTCCACCAAGAATTGGGCGGTCGATCGAGCGGGGGAAGCCGGAAAAAAGTTCGTGCCACTAGAGACGCACCAAAAGTCCAAAACTTTCTCCGGATAGGTTCTACCGTACGAAAATTCAGAATGCTATGGCTTAATAAAGGTATATTTTCTTTCCTTTTCAATTTATTTATTGCATTTTTTATTTGTTCTTTTTTATTAATAAAGGTATGTTTGAAAACAAAATATATGCAATAAATATTCGAAGATGCAGATGATTGAAATGATTGTAATAAACCTGGGGAATGAGACACGACGGGAAAATTCATGGACGAGCTCCATATCATATTATTATCTGCTACTTGGGATGTGGCACTTTTCTACACTTATGTTTTCACACTGCCTTATACTGAATTTTTAGACCTATTTCTTTTAAGTGTTTATTTTAAATAAGTCCAGATAAAACTCTCTTCAAATATATACTTTATATTTTATAAATTATGATTAAAAATATACTTTTAAACGCTCTTATCGCCATTTCAAATAAACCCTTATTTACAAGAGTGACTCCTGTAGATTGCATAAGAAAAATGTAAAGGTTATTTGTATTAATAAGAATAATACCAATCTCTCGTCATAACAATATGTCATCTGGCTAGATACGCATCTAATGTCAGGGAAAAGTTTTCCAAATCATTAATTTTATAAATATGTAATATGTAATATTTGCATGCAATATGTAATCTCATTTTATTATTACTATAATTTTAATTTTAATTTCATTAAAAAAATTTGGGGAGCAGAAGTCGTTTTCCATTGACATGGATGTCTCTTTTTTTATTTTTGGCCACGAGATACATGTATCTGTTTTAACATTAAAACGTCAATCATTTACTTTAGCAATAACAAACTCTTTAAAAGGAAAAAAATTATAGATATTAACACTATGTTTGGATTGAGATTGAGAGAAAATTTGGAGAGAAGAAAATAGAGGGGGAAAATAGAAGGAGGAAAAAAGTGAAGAAATAATATTATCTTTTCTTATATTTGGATAGGCAGAACCATTTTAATAGTTTTTACATTTTGAGAGGATTAGTTTCTAGTTATCTAGATGCTACTTTTTTTGGGGGGGGGGAAGATGAGAAAAAATGCATGATATTTACAATTACAAGAATACCTTTATATACATATTGAAAGTTTTCCTCCAAAATCTCTCCAATATTAGGAAGAAAATTTGGGGAGAAAAATATATGAGACCCACACTTTTTTTTTCTTATCATTTTTTTCTCTGTGTTTGCTTATCTAATTCAAACAAAAAAAATTCATGTTCTCCTCCATTTTCTCCCCTATTTTTCTCCTCCCCTTAAATTTCTTCCCAACCAAACATAATGTAACTTATTTAAAAACTTGTGTCAGCCTACAAAATATTTTTTTTTCTTTTCAGCACAACAAATATTATGGGACCAAAAAAAATACAAAATTAATGCATTATTAGAAATATCCTTGAGATTTTCCCTTTTAGATGAAAAATCTAACATTATTCTGTTTTACTGCTCAAATTTAAATCAATATGGATAATTGGGTGAGTACATACTAAACAGTGATACAAATACTCTCTCTAATAATAAATATAAGCCAATTCCTAAAAATAGTTTTCTATCAAAATATAGTTGATCTTGGAAGTTTAACTATTTCTTTCTAAATATCATCCTTTTTCTTGTTTACTGTGAGCTGCATAATAGTTTTGAAAACTCTACCGTTAATATAGTTAATAGTGAAAAAAATTGGAAAGAAGAAACATTTCATTAATAATAATTTTAAAATTTAGAATAAATTGCACAAAATTCGTTTAAATTTTAAATAATCTACAAATGATATTATTAACCTTCAAAACCAATGAAAAACCCTCCTGATCATTAATCTTATACTATTTTAAATTTAATTTTTATATGTATATAGCATCAAATTTTGACTTATATACAAATAATTTCCCAAAATTCTAAGTTTGGAGCAGAAAATTTAAACATATGCATAGATACCTACGAGCACTTGGATTGATTGGCTATAAATTGTTCCAATTTAATCATTAGTCTCATGCTTGAACACCCGACCTGTGGCTGCGATAATTACTTGATGGTAGTGAGGTACTCCCATTATGAAACTTATTTCGGTGGAGAAATTAGGAAAAAAAAAAGCATAGATGTAATACATATTACATATGTATGGTACGGTGGTTTTGATATGCTGTCTCTAATTCAAAATATAAGAATTAAACAAAAAGTTTATTCTGAAATTTATAACATCGTTTATTCAAAATATATCTATTAATATTATATATAAAGAGATTATCAATTAAGATATTGTTCTAATGTACATAATTAAAAATAATAGCTTAAAAAAAACTAAGACGTATTTATTAGTATAATTAAACTAATATTCTCAAAATTGGAGGTAGTATGATTTGAACCCTATATTCTTTGGGAGTCTCAGTTCCGTTCAGTAATTTCCACCACTTTTTTTAATGCGTCTACACACCCAATCATCACATCCATACTTTATAGATTTTAATCGATTTTCCGCATAATTCAAGTCCCTATTATATTTAAAAAATCATAATTTTATAAATAAAATAGATATATGAAAAAGAAACATAAGTTACAATTTATAAATCAAAACCAAGTTGAGGGATAAAATGTTGAATAATAATTTAAGGACCAAAAAAGAGAAGATTGAAGTGACGTTTTTGTCTGGATTATCAAGATTAGAAAAAGAACATGGACGCTATATTGAAACCTATCCCAATTGACTGACTTTTGTCGTCTGGTGGCAAGTCATACTAATGTATAACTTACAATCCTGGAAAAAAAAAGTGAATTTGTTTATTTAGATTCTTGACTTAAGATTCTATTTAGAATAGTTTATAAGTAGTTTTTTAGTTGTGATTTATAAATACGAGATAAATATATGAGAATCTCAACTTATATAAAATGTGTTTATAAATAATTTTAATTCTGATGACAAACATGACTTAAATATACTTCTCGCATTATCATGTGAGGGGAAGAAATTAATTAGATGTTGAGAAGAAAAATTCCTAAAAAATTATTGACTAAAAAATTAATTGTTAAAAGGTATAGGAAATTTGTTTAAGCCTTTAAGGATACAGAGCAACCTATGTTGAAACTCTTCTTCACTTATATACAAATTTGTCTTGTTTGGATACATTTTTGTGTGAAAAGCAACTTTTGAAAGCCAAACTCACATTTAGCATTTTGTAAGGTGTTTGGATTAACTTTTGGTTAATTTTGCTTATGCGACAAAAGTTATTTTTTGTAAGTATGATTGCAAAAGTATTTGAAATTTACTTATGATTTATGCAAAAATAACTTTTTAGAATCAAGACATTTTTGTTCTTATATTTTTATTTTCCTTATACTTTTCTTTGCATATTCTTTGTGCTTCCCAACCAGTTTTTAGCTATTTATTCTTAATAATTTTTTAAATAAAAATAATTTGTAACATATTTTTTATAATGTTTTTATTTTTTAATATTATTTTTCATGTTGTATTTACATAAACGGTACAAAGTATATCATCTAATTTATTATATAATATTATTTCGTTTAAAAATTTTCATATTACTATGATTTCTAATTCAAATATATTTTATTCATTAAATATAGCTTTTTCCTTATCATTATCATATTTTTAATAATTTTTTATTATTTAATAAAATTCATACCTATTTTTGTCATTCTACAAACTAAACTTACTTATCTAATCATAATCCAAAATACTTTCCTACTTTACAAACTAATTTTTATAAAAGCTAATCCAAACATAAATTACATTAATCAATCTGACTTTTACCCAATCTACTTTTCTAAAAGTCATATTGAAAATAAGTTATTTTGTTACCGCTAATCAAAACAGACCATTTAACTATATGCAAAACAAAAAATCTTTGCACCTAACTGAAAATATGTTGTATATAACTAGAAAAAAGTTACATCTACTAAAAATGAGTTGCATTAGTTCAAAACCTGAACTTTTAAAATACCTTTGCGTAATTAATTTTTTAATAAGACGCTTCCAATGAATTTTATCCTTTAAACATAAAAGTAATGATTTTTTGACAAAAAATAAACATAAAAGTAATGATTCAAAAATCGGACTAAACCGGATGGTCAGACCAGTCCGGCCGATTACAAGAATACTTTCTAGCTTGTTCCACGTGATTGGTCCGCCTTGCCATTTTGAGCTATTTTGAGCTGCTTTAAGCGGACGTTGGAATTAGAAGCCGACGTAAAACTAGAAACAAGGAAGGCTTTGCAAAATACAGATGGCCTGAGTTTGTTACACACTTGTGTGGGTGGGGGAAAAAAACTAATAGACTATCCCAAATCGAAGAAGAAGAAAGGAAAAAAGGGAAATCAAAGGAGAAGATGAAAGAAGATAGCATAGGAGAGATGTGATGGCCTGAAGGTGGAGGGATGAGATCTGAAAGGAAAATGTTCGCCCGAAGGTGTAATATTGGTGGGAGTGAAAAGTAGCTTTGAGTGCTGTAAAAGTAAGTCATCATTTAATGTCAGCTACCACCCCACCACATTTATCCAGGTATCATCTTTTTGTTTTAGAGTTTTCTTATTTCTCATTTGTCATTTTATTTGTATTATTTATTTGCATATGTTGATATTTTATTTTTATGTAAAATGATTAACATAAAGTCATGTATATTTAGTACTCTTCCGGTCCTTAATATAAGACCCAATTATTGAGTTGATTTTAATCCTAAATATAAGACTCATTTCTCATAGTTATCAATTTTCTCTAAATTATCTCTATAGATATTCTCCCAACCATAATCAAGTAGAAGAGGAACATGGAGTATCAAGAAAGATGATTATGGTATTTTAGAAAAAACGTGTCACATTTCTTATAATTAACTAACTTACCTAACTTCATTAATCTAATCAAATTAGTT